TCTGATGTGGCTGAGCCGCTGGTTTCTGAGCCTGTCTCTTCTCTGTCCTATTTTTACGACGCTTTTGTGGTTCTTGCTTATTTCTCAGTCTACAGTGTGTGGGAATAATATCTTAATTCCACCCGCATAATAGGGGAGGACTAACGAATCACTATACCTGCAACACTCTGAGGTCGTTGGATAAAAGGAATTCAAATAACCCAAAGAGATCTTTTTGTTAGGTCTTACTTCATAGGCGGTACAAGGAAAAATTAGCTAATACCGGGGAGGGGCAGAGGAAACGAAGAGAACGAAATTACCGTGCCACATTACTAATTATTTTCTTTGAAATCCTCGGTGATTGTTTTCTACCAATACGGTCCGTGTGGAAAAACGTGCTCTCGGTATTTTATGAACAAAACAGAGGATGGCTGAAAGTCTTCCGTTTGTTTTCTATAAATTACAGGATCTGGGGGGATGGAAGGAGGCTCATTTGCCTTTCTTCCTTACATCGATAGAAGGAAGGTCTGGGTCCATCTGGAACGTTCCTAGTAATTTGGCTTGCACCAGCTCGTGCCCCTCCTCGGTGCAGCTGGGCGGCCAGGGTTCATGAGATCAGTTTAGCCCTCCGCGCCAGACTCTGCCCGGCCGGGTGGTCCTCCCGTGGGGCCGGGTTCCACAGCCAGCCCTGGGCAGGGCCTGGTGGGCGGCCTCCCGCCCGCAGGCTGGTAGGGAAACACCAGTCTTGTTGCTGGGGAACCGGTGTGGCTCTGTCCCTCTCAACTCCCTAGACCGCCACCCACATCCCACCTGCTGGACGGGCAGCCTTTGGAATTCACTCATTCACCAACTATCACCGAACCTCTTACTGTTCCCCCAAACAAAACAGAGAAAGCCCTGCTTTTGGGGGGGGGGGTAGACATTCCAATAAAGAGACGTTAAACCGAGAAGAGTATGTCAGCTGGCGGTGAGCACTAGGAAGACGCGGAACAGTGCACAGGAAGTGGTGACGGGGACAGTGGCAATGGTGCTGTTTTACAGGAGCCGTCGAGAAGGGCCTCGCCGAGGAACCTCCATCGCAGCAGAGAGCCGAGGGAAACAGGGAGCCGGCAAAGGCAGTGTCACAAAGAAGAGCCGCCCAGGCAGAGGGAAGAGCAGGGGCAAAGACCTTGAGTTTGCACGTCCCAGGAACAGCAAGGAAGCCAGTGCGCCTGGAACAGAGCCGGTGAGGGGCACGGAAAGGGGTAGGAGATGGATTGGAGAGCAGGCCGGGAACCACACGGCATATGAGCAGGTCTCTGCCTATAGCTCAGGCAGCGCTCTTAACCCACCAGCTCACTCCGTCAGCAACGGAGTGTTGCGCACCCTATGTCCCTGGCTGGCCCTCGGGGTCCCTGCCAGGCCGAAGGAAGAGAGCAAAACAGTAACAGTTGCAAAAGGGGGTGAGGCTTTAATACAATTCTCTCTCTCTTTTTAAATGTTTATTTGCTTATGGGGCGCCTGGGTGGCTCGGTCGGTTAAGCGTCCGACTTCGGCTCAGGTCATGATCTCACGGTTTGTGACTTCGAGCCCCGTGTCGGGCTCTGTGCTGACAGCTCAGAGCCTGGAGCCTGTTTCAGATTCTGTGTCTCCCTCTCTCTCTGCCCCTCTCCTGTTCATGCTCTGTCTCTCTCTGTCTCAAAAATAAATAAACGTTAAAAAAAATTTAAATGTTTATTTGCTTAGAGAGAGAGAGAGCACGCACGCACAGGGGATGGGCAGAAAGAAGGAGAGAGAGAATCCCAGGCAGGATCCTCGATAACAGTGCAGAGTCCAACATGGGGCGCAGTCCCATGAACCCAGAGATCATGACCTGAGCCGAAATCAAGAGTCAGACACTTAACCCACTGAGCCATTCAGGCACGCCTATAATTCTCTCTCTCTTTTTTTTTTTTTTTTTTTTTTCAGAAGTAATTGTTGCACATTTTAGGGAGTATGCAAAACGCAGAAAAGAATAACTATGGGGCACCTGGGTGGCTCATGGCTCAGTCAGTTAAGCATCCGACTTTGGCTCAGGTCATGATCTCGTGGTTATGGGTTCAAGCCCTGCATGGGGCTCTGTGCTGACAGCTCAGGGCCTGGATCCTGCTTTGGATTCTGTGTCTCCCTCTCTCTCTGACCCTCCCCTACTTGTGCTCTGTCTCTCTTTCTCTCTCTCAAAATAAATAAACACTTAGGAGGAGGAGGAGGAGAAGGAGGAGAAGGAGGAGGAGGAGGAGGAGGAGGAGAATTATGCACATACAGAAAAGTAGAGACCAGGTAGCTCGGGTTCTCATTGTTTCCTCTGCTGATTCCCAACCTTTATACAATGCAGTTGTAATGCAATATACTAAATATGTTTATAACATATGATACAATATGTTATATGTTTTTAATGATTTTAAATATGTAACTTTTATTATTCTGTAAAGGCAACAGAACATACAGATGACATTTTCCCTTATTTAATGCCACAAAGTCATATTATTGTTTATATATGTTACATACCCATATTATCACAAATGGTACAAAGTCATATTATCTCATATATAAATACTATATCGCTGATCATGAATTAGGGGTGTAAGCCAAACAATGTATTCCTCTGTTCAGTAAAAAAAAAAATACACACAGGGGTGCCGGGGTGGCTCAGTCAGTTAAGAGGCCGCCTTCAGCCGTGAGTTCGAGCCCCACATCAGGCTCTGTGCTGACAGCTTGGAGCCTGGAGCCTGCTTCAAATTCTGTGTCTCTCTCTCTCTCTGCCCCTCCCCTGCTCACACTCTGTCTCTCTCTCTCTCAAGAATAAAAAACATTATATATAATGTATATACATATACATTATATACAATATATATGTGTGTATATATATATATTATATATAATGATCATAGCAGGATGTTGTGAACTTGAACTGAAGGACTGGAGGAAGGAAATCACTGTGTGTATAAGACAGCACTTTGGACTTGGTTTCCAAAATAATTTTCACCCCCTTAGAAAACATAAATATCCAAAGACAGAATCCTCACAGAAATCAAGAACAAATCAATTTGAGCTAATTTCAAATACAAGAAAGAGTGTGGCACGGAATACAAGCCGTGAATATAAGCACAGACTATCTGCCATATTGTAGGCAGGTTATAACATATTCGCATACGTTTATAAAACACGCATCTGACAAAAAGAAACTCAACTGACAATTTTTCTCAAAATAAAAGAGGTTTGCACCAGATCCTCTAACTCACCTACAGACTTTGGAACCCAACCTCCACAAGGTGACATGGCACTAATTCTGAGCCTCTGCCTACCCTGTGAGGTCCTCTTCTCAGTGCTGGTAACACAGCAGTCAACGGGACAGAAACTAACTTCACTGTTTGCCTCTTCTTCCCCGATTCCAACTGTCCAAAAAGAAGGCAGATCAGGGGCACCTGGGTGGCACAGTCGGTTAAGCGTCCGACCTCAGCCAGGTCACGATCTCGCGGTCCGTGAGTTTGAGCCCCGCGTCAGGCTCTGGGCTGATGGCTCGGAGCCTGGAGCCTGTTTCCGATTCTGTGTCTCCCTCTCTCTCTGCCCCTCCCCCGTTCATGCTCTGTTTCTCTCTGTCCCAAAAATAAATAAAAAACGTTGAAAAAAATTTTTTTTTCAAAAAGAAGGCAGATCAATCTAGAGTTTCAGTCCCTCTGAGTGAGGGTGAGTGTCGGACCTCTGTGGCATGTGCTGGAAACGAGGCCAGGAGGCCGGTGGCCAGAACACGGGGCTACGGTGATATGACTTTGCAGCAAACTGCTTGGCCTCCCCGCGCCCCCCCCCCCCCCCAAGCAGATCTTTGTCTTCTCCCTCTGCTGCCGCCTTCTCTGCTGCACAGACAAAACCAGGGAGCCCCCACCTCTGGCCGAAACCCTAGAGAGCGTCACCCACTATTGTACACAGTGGCCAAGCTTAGAACGCACCCCTTGAAGACTGGGCCTCTCTCGGCCCTCACATCACCTGACGTTCTGGGGCTGTTCCCAGGCCCCCCTTGCTCAGTCCCCCAAAGGCAGTCAAAAGAGTTCCTGACGTGCAAGGCTTTTAAAGGAAGAGTAATTTTTAATAGAAGCATGAAAATGCACATCATTCTCTCTGGGAGCATCACTTCCCAGCAGAAAACCGATGAGGGCTTAAACAAAAGGGGAGTCCTAGTCCCTCGGGGAAATGTATCATTTCTATAGAAACCAAGGACCCTTCCAGACAGCCAGTTCTGACAGGACTAATAGTAAGGACATCACAGCAGCCACCACTGGACACGGAAGCACTTCTGTGGACAGACAGATGGACACTGGGTTGGGTGCATTTATCCTAGCATCCCTGCTGGGCAGGTACCACCGACCTCACTGTTCAGATGGGGAAACCAAGGCCACGTCAGAATAATGACTTGCCCAGCTGGAAAGAGGCCAGGTAGGTTCAGATATTTTGAGGCTGTTTTTACATCTTTCTCAACCTGCTTTTACTCGTTGTTAGAAATAATGCTCAGCTTCCAGAAATGTCATCAGCCATGACGCCTAGCAATATAGTTCCGTTCAGGAAACTCACCTCAGTGAGGCCCACTTTGCTGACTGCTTCCTGCCGGTGGGTCCCTCCACGGCTTCCAGCCTCAGAAAGAGTTGGTGCTCAGGGAGCACGATGGCTTTAAACCATAGGTCATTCTCTTGGAGGGCATCAGTGATTTTCCCGCCAAGTGTAAGAGGCCAAATCAACTAGGAAAGTGTTCTTAAAATATAACTGGTTGTGGCTCCTTATTCTTGACAGGCCTCTCCCAACCTACTGTCTATCCTAAAAGGGATGAACTGTCCCTTGACACGGATTGTACAGACAAATGCTCCTCTGCCGGCCAGGTGGGGGCCCTGCACGGGAGCAGCGGCTTCCTGGGAGTGAAACACCCCTTCGCGACCCCTCCCTCGGAGCCGCAGGGCTGCGAGGCTCACACTGCCGCCAGCCCATCCCCACCCAAAACTCGTGTGGAGTGCCTGGCGTTTTCCTCCGGGTTCTGCCTGCCTTCAGAATACCAAGTGGCTCTAACGTGTCCGAGGCGTATTAAAAAAGAAACTCTGCAGATTTGAGATTGATTTTAAGAGACATCGTGGAAAGGCAGAAAGCCTAGTGGCCCGGAGTCCTGTTCCTGGCTTGTGGGGTGGCCTGGGAGGTGATGGGGGGGGGGTGTCTCTCGGCCTCAGTTTCCCCTTCTGTAAAACAAGAGGGGTCCAGGTGAGCACTCGCAGGCTCAGCCCTCGGCGTGACCAGGGGATGCGAGGACGCTGTTGTCCCACGGCGCCTCCTCCGCCCGGAGTCGCACGCGTGGGCAAGCTCCCCGCCCCGCGGCCGGGCTAACCTTCTCCGCCCCCTTCCCCACCCCCCACCCCCGGCCCGCGCGGCTCCCGCAACCCACCGCTCCGCCCTGGGCCGGGCCGCGCGCAGGCGGCAGGGTCCCAGGCCGACACCCCGCGCGCGTCCCGCCCGGCCCGGCGCGTGGAACCCCC